CAGCCTCTTAGCATCAAACACGGTGTTGCTAGGGTTTAGAGCCACCTGGTTTTTAGCGCTGTCGCCAATAAGCCTCTCGGTTTCGGTGAACGCCACGTAGCTCGGTGTCGTCCTGTTGCCCTGGTCATTGGCTATGATTTCCACTTTTCCATGCTGGAAAACCCCCACACAGGAGTAGGTGGTGCCCAGATCGATGCCGATGGCAGTGCCTTTAGCTGCAGTCATCTTCACTGTTTTCCTGAAAGCATAACAGACACATTTTAGGAACCGAAAAATTCCGTAAAGATGGAGACAAAGAAGTGTTTTCTTTTGTAAATAACCGTCAAATAGAAAGATTTTAGACTCTAACTACTTAATCTCAGACTTCACACCAACACAATCAGCATCAATTCAGGTCTGAGTTTGATTTTGCTGTCAGAAAATGATATTTTTAACCTTTTGCTTTCCTATACTATCACCATGGAGACACAGAATGAACTGGTCAACTGCTGCTCCCTGTGGTCACTTTGTGCCACTGTGGGCTCTAAAGTAAAAAATAACCAAGGTGAACTTAAAATTAAAAACTAACATGTTTAAAGGCAGATTATTTTCTCTAACATTAACATCCCATTGACATTATGGTAAAGGAATAAGAGTAAAAGACTTACCCTTGAGTATTATTCTGGTTCTCCGGGTCTCGTCTGTAAGTTTAGTAAGTACGTTTTGTTGTTCCTCTTCTTCTTCTCTCCTGGTTTAGTTGTTATTCCTCTTCTTCTTCACTCCTAGTTTAGTTGTTGTTGTTTCTCTTCTCCGTCTTCTCTTCTCCTTGATATCGCCGTTGCTCTTCTTCAGTTTTACTGTCTTCTCCATGACGCCTCTCCAGGTTTTTATAACTGTGTCTAAAGCTCTAGACTGTTCTTCACGTTTCCACCGTGACGTCGTCACTGTCTCATGCCTTGTAATAGAATTTCCGGTGTGGTATTTCAAAATAAACGAGTGACTGTATAGTTCTGGAATTTTCGATAGCTTTCTAGCGGAGTCTGGTAAAGAAGGTTCTGGAAAATTCATGAAAAATGAAAACTCATGTGTGATATGATGTAGCTGTCTAACGGTGACCTTATATTCACCTTTTTAAAGATATGAAAATGTTATTTTTATGTTTTTTTTTTCCCGAATTCGGCTTTTGTTTTGTAATCCACTGAAAATAAAAATCTCATCACAATCTCTTCATTTCTGTGGATTTTAATAAAAACGTCTTTGTAGCTGTTCTCTCCAGTGAATTTGTGTGTTTGTGGTTAAGATTTTGTAAAAACGTTTTAAAAAGAGTGTAAAAAAGGTGATTAAGCACATACAAACACAACCCCAAAGAAATCAAAACAGAGGACAAATATTGCTTCCTGTTAATGTACAATGACCAATAAGGCTACTGTTTCCGTTACTCTTATTTTAAACCCATGAAAAATGTTTTCAAAGAAACTCAAAAAGGAACAATTTATTCCTCCACACCAGTTGATGGTGGTAAAGAAGAGACCCACCGCGCTCCCTCTTGGCTAGCTCTCGCGAGATGACGCGGGGCAGCGTGAGACTGGGGGCACCAGCAGCATCAGCATTAGCATAAGCACTAACAACAACAGCGGCGGCAGCAGCAGCAGAGCACCATCATCATGTTTCTAGTGTGAGAAGAAAAGACGTTTGAGGCCACACCGATTCACACGGACACGCGCATCACATTGCGTCACCGCTACTAACAGGTAAATCAGCATAAACACGCACGCGTTTCCGCAGCGACGATCACCACTTACAGAAGCGCAGCTAACAGTAGCTAACTGAGCTAGCGGGAAGCCTAGCCATTGATGCTAATGATGATTCAGTGTTTTTTTCTGTTTTTTTGTGCGTAAGCTGAGAGACAGGTGATGAAAAACAAAACAGTGTTCGTGCGCGCGTGTCAGTGCGTAAGATTGACAGGTCTGTGCGTTTGTGTACGTCAGTGAGCTGTTTGAATGCATACTTCACGTCTGTAAGACGCTGAATGAGTGGAAATCACGTCAAGTGTTCTTAGTTAATATTTACACAGAAAAAAACAGAAAACCTCAATACAATCAACAATTTTGGCTTAAACCACGAGCACAAAAAGAAAAGAAAGAGCAATATTACACAACGTTGGCGATTATGATTGTTGAGATAAGAAACATGACATGCAGTGTTCTTGTCACTCGAAATTATCTTTTTCCTAAATCCGTTATTTTCTCAGACTCAGATTCAAAATCCTAAAATCTAAAGTCTAAAAAAAAGGTTTAAAAAAACTTAATAATATAGTAATATTTCGCAAATCTGCCTAGAGTGAGACAAAAGACAGAGGATAATTAACATTTAGCTAAATATAGTTTAGAGTTGGCCAAATAAATGTAAATTTAATTTAAATTAGCTTCAAGGTTTGCTGCAGGTTCTCTCAGAAACAGCCAGGTTTAAGCCAAAACACAACTTTAGGTTAGCCACAAATTTTGAGAAATACATATAAAATATAGTTTAAAACAGCCTGTTGACACTTCAAAGTGAGAATTTAGTCAATGTTAATTAAAATAAGCTCAAATAAAACCAGAAGTTAGTCTGAAATATACAAAATTCAGGAGAACATAGCTAAAAGTTAGCCTACATTTTTGAAATAAAATATTGACTTTTCTCCTTACTTTCATCAATTCTTTTTTACAGGATGTGACCAACCTTCTCTTGGATGAATGAAGATCTTTCAGTTCCAGGCCCATGTGTTTCCTGTTTGGTCAGAGCTTCAGAGGTGCACCAATGATGTAGCCAAAACGAGCTTGAATGGGATTGACTCCGTCTTTGGCTCATGGCTTTGGATTTTTTTGTCTCGATCTCGTCACTCATGTTTGTAAACCGTCAGACCAATGTCCTGCTTTTGTCCACCACTCACTGAGGCCGCCTGCTGCGTGGTCACATTTCAGGTCACCTCTTAGACCATCAGGTGCATTAGTGCCCCCCCCCTCCTTTTAGGAGAATGAACGGCTCCCTTTTAAACCCGCCCAGCCCGAGGGCAGCAAACGCCTCTCCATTGCCTCCCTCACCTTCTCCGTCTCCATCACCGCCCTCCCCCTCTCTACTGCCACTGTCCCCACGCCCCCCTCCTCTCCCTCCTCTGGTGAGTCCTTCCTCACAGGCCCACACCTCCTCCCTGTCAGACACGCCCACCCCCTCGCCCTCACCTTGCCTAAGTTGGACCGAATTCTGTGAGCTCCATGCCCGTGTGGCTGCTGGTGACTTTGCACGCCACTTTCGTGCTTTCCTCCAGGAAAACCCTCACTACTCTGCAGAGTCGGCTGCAGCTTTCTGCCGAAGATTCACCGATCGATTTGTACGACACTTTCAAAGTGAGCTGCAGGGGGTGCTCCTCCCGAGCTGTACGTCTGGAAGGGAGGATATGGGAAGCTGGGCTCCTCAGTCTGAGGTCACTTCACTAGAAGATGAAGCTGTCTCTCCACTGTTGGCCAGCGAAGCTGCCGTCCTCCCTTGTCCTCCCAGTAATGCAATGCGGACTTTGTCAAAGGCCACACCCACACGCCTGGTTTTGGAGCAGCGTAGCGGTGAAAGGTATCAGGACTCCTATGCCCACGGACAGGTCCTACCGCCGTCCTCGTCCTCGTCTTGCTGCTCCTCAGTGGGCGGGAACAACGGGGGGCGACGTGAAGATAGGGGTGTGACTGTGGTGGCTCCCGGGAACGGTGACGCACCAGTGGAGGAAGATGAAGACGCCTGGCTTGGGGCATCATCAGTCGGAGAGGACACCGACGCAAAGGAGCAGGAGACAGAGTTGACAGAGGTAGATGGCAGCGACCACGCTCAGCAGATACCTCCCTCCTCCTCCTCTGCCTCCATCACTCCTCCTCCAGAGTCAAGAGGCAGCAGTTTGACTGGCACCTCTAAAAACAAACTGAAGAAACGATTTTCTCTGCGAAATGTGGGGCGCAGCGTTCGTGGGAGCGTGCGGGGAATCCTGCATTGGCGCAGCTCCTCCAGCGACTCTCCCCAGAGCCAGCTCCCCTCCAGCTACAGCTACACCATGGGGGTTCATGACCCCGCTCTGCACCCGGCTTCAAAGAGGAACTCTGGAGGAACGCAGCCTCCCACTCCGACCTCCTCCATGCCCATCTCCCTGTCAATGCCCCTGTCCCTTCCCCACTCCTCATCCTCTTCTTTGCCCCCCTCCTCGTCCAGCAGCGCTACCTCTCTATCGCTGTCGGAGGCTGCGCGGGATCGACGCAGGAGCAACGGTGAAGGAGGAGAGAAGGAGAAGTGGAGCCATCGTCTGGAAAAACTCAGGCTAACGCGTTCGCCACCTCCTGTCCTCACCCCCACTTCCACCACCTCCTCCTCAGCATTGCCTCCGAGCAGTGCTGCCGCCGTCAGCGCTAAGGTGGGCCGCCTGGTGCGGGAAGGTGGAGTCAACGTCAGCTCGTCCAGCGACGAGTTCAGTGGAAGCCACGGCTTCTCTGGCTTCTCTTTCAGCCTGCTGCACCACGGTACAGACAGTGGCCACAATGCCATCGTAGTGTCACCAGCAGGAGGTGAGACGGGTGCAGCGCCTTCTGTGGCCAGTGGAGGAAATACTCCCTGGAGAGGAGGACGTTGGCATAAATGCCGCCTGGTCCTCAGAGAGAGGGACAGGGAAGGTGCTGAGACAGGAGAGGAGTACTACCTGGAATTCTTCATCCCGCCAAAAGTAAGTGTTTTCCTTCTTACTACAAAATAAAAGCCTGCCTTTAAATATTGTGAAGATGTAATGCTGCTGAACTCCTCTTCAGTCATCCAAGCCACGGCTCACCGTGTCCTGCTCCTCCATCGTGGAAGTGAGGAGCACCACTGCGCTGGAGGTTCCTGACAAGGAGAACACCTTCTTTTTGCAGGTATTCCTCAAGATCCATAAAAAAAAAACCTCTCAGTCTCACACCACAAAAAAAAAATCACTGTTTTCTCTGTGGACTTTACAACCTTCAGTTCTCTTTCTTCTCAGCTGGAAGCCTCGAAAAATCACTGTTTTCTCTGTGGACTTTTTCTTTCTTCTCAGCTGGAAGCCTCCGCGCAGTATGTGATCGAGACCCGTGACGCTGTTCAGATGAGAGCATGGCTGAGCGACATCAGAAACGGCATTTGCCTCAGGTAAACGGAAGTCAACGGAAAGGAGCTGCCGTCTAAATTAAAAATATAATATTCAGGTAAACGGAAGTCAACGGAAAGGAACTGCCACCTAAATTAAAAATATAACAAATGAGGATAAAAAGAGCTGAAAATCAGCCAAATATTAAAATATTATACAATTACAGTCAGAGTGTAGTTACAGGCAGCCATCTGAAGGTGGCTGTGGTGCTGATGTGAAAATGATTGAACTCTTACCAAGTAGTTGATGATGTCGTCAGTCACTTCTGCTTTTGTTGGTCCGTGTCCTCAGTGAGCAGGAAGATGCTGAAGGAGTGTGTGTGGGGCCGTCAGACATCAGTGGAACACCAGACCGTCTGTCACAAGGTACCAACACAGCCACCGTGTTGACATAATGTCCAGATTAGGACTGGACTTCTTCTTCTACCTGACTACAGACGTCCACAGGTCCACTCAGGCAATAACTGACATCAGTCACATGTTACAAAGAATTTCTTTACAGATCACAGAGAAAAGTTCAAATTGGTTAAAACTGACTAAACGTTAGCCTGTGTGGGCTCAAAGTTAGCGCTGAATACTACAAGTGAAAATAGAGAAAGACTCCTCGTCTCTGTCTCTCTTTGACTCCTTGTCCTCCTAGTGTGTTACGGGGGTATTGCAGGCTCTTCCCCTCTGATGGACCCCCTCCCTCCGGAGCTGCCACCTCGAGCCCCTCTGGACGATCCCGATGGTCGGATACTGGGAGGAGGCGGAGCAAGCCTGGGCACACCTTTTGCTGAGACGCCAGAAGCGACAGGTGAAGAGTGGATGAGTGTAGAACCGAGACAAGGCAGAGTAAAAAAAACAGTAAACAGTACGGTTTTTTTTTCACTTTTGTCTTCATCACTTTTCCAGGTTCTTTCCTGTTCTCTGATGTAACGCCTGCTGAGACGGTGGAACATCCTCTCAGCGAGTGCCAGTGGTTTCACGGAACCCTGTCCCGCCTCAAAGCCGCTCAGCTGGTGTTGGCCGGCGGCCCGGCCAGTCATGGCGTTTTTCTGGTTCGCCAAAGTGAAACAAGACGTGGAGAATATGTCCTGACCTTCAACTTCCAGGGCAAAGCCAAGGTGCTTCAGGGCGGCTTTTTAGACATTTTTTTTTTTTACAGTGGAGTGGGAAAGTTTTAGGCAGGTGTGCCCATTTCCTGTTTCCCCTGGTTTAGACCTGCTTCTTTGTGTAGCAAACGCAAAGAAGATCGTTCTCAACAACAATATCTTTAAAAAAAAAAAAAAAGAAAAGTTCTTGGGCTGAGCCTCACTCTGAGACCTGTTTGTTTACTGGCCACAGGGGGGCGCCTGTGGTCCAACCTGTGACAACCTCCAAATGAGACCTGTTTGTTTACTGGCCACAGGAGGGCGCCTGTGACAACCTCCAAGCACAGGGTCTAAAAACCACATTTGAATGACAAAAAGTTACTGTTGTTGAGAAACGTCAGCATGAAGGTGGGGGACAGTGTGTCATGTTTGCAGTGACTTGTGTTGACCTCTGACCTTCTCCGTCCTCCAGCATCTGCGTCTGTCTCTGAACGAGGACGGTCAGTGTAGGGTGCAGCACCTTTGGTTCCAGTCCATCTTTGACATGTTGGAGCACTTCCGGGTTCATCCCATCCCTCTGGAGTCTGGCGGCGCCTCTGATGTCACACTTGTCAGCTTTGTGGGCGCCACCACGGTCCGTCAGCCAGGTATGAGTGATTCTAGTGCATCATGGGAAATGCAGACATGACACGTTTTGTGATGCTCCCAACACGGCCGTCTTCACACGAGGTCCAAACAGCCGCCGGTTCAGGACCAAGAAGAACAGCGGCTGTGGTTCCTCAGAGGTCGTAGGTCATGGTGTCACTTGGTTCCGTTTTATCGTTGTCGCCTGATGATGATGTCACAGCATCATCACATGTACAGCGTTCTGTAGGTCAGTGGGTTGACACCTTTGTTTTCTCAAGGACCAGTCGGCTGCTACCGGCCAGTGCCGCGTACCAGGGGTTGGGAACCCATGCTGCAAGTTATGAATAGTTAGGAACCGTGAACTAGTAAAAAAAAATGGCATCCCTCAGACCATGTGACCTGCTCTGGCAGCTGCAGGGGTGTGTGTGTCGGCTGGTGATGTAACTACACAAACGGTGTTTGTCTGTTTGTTTTATTTATCACCTTGTTGTTTGTGTGTGTGTTTGTTTATCTGATGACTCATCCTCTTACAGGCCGGGACAGGGCAGGCAGCCGGCCCACAGTTTGTGATGTCATCACCACGCGCCATCCCGACTCTCCATCTACCCCCATCTCTGACTGTGTGTAAGTGAGACCGGGCTCATGTGCGTGTGCGTGTGTGTATGTTTTTGTGTGGAATGACTAAATTCAAATTTTGAATCTGGATTTAAATATAAAATGTGTGTTTTTATTGTACATCTGAAATCAGGTTCAATAATGATCTGGTTATGGATGTTGAAAAATTCTATATTTGGAACAGGATGGGATATTTACCTCTGACCTGAGGTTCAAAGATTTAAAAAAATCCAGTCTGGTTTGAGGTTTGAACTGAGTTCTAAATCATCAATAAATTAAAAAAAACCCATAGGATTCATACAGTGAACCTGTGTGTGTGTGTGTGTGTGTGTGTGTGTGGGAGGGAGTGCAGGTGTGTGGGAGTGCAGGTGTGCGTGTTGCCTCCATGACTTCCATGGACTCGCCGACTCTCGCCTCACTCTCACTTCCTATTCCCCCCGTCATCTTCCTCTGCGCTCTGACCTCACTTCCTGTCTTCCTTCACTCATTCTCTGCCCCCTTTTCCTCTCTTCTTCCTCTCTCATCTCCTCCTCCTTCTCCTCCTTCTCTCGGTTACAGACTTGACCAGCAGACCCCGTAGTCCACCTGTGCCACCACCTCCTCTGCCACCGGGACGTCCGCCGCCACCGACGCCCCCGCAGGAGAGAGGGAGTGACACGGAGCTGGGAGCAGGAAGAGCAACGGCAGCTGCAGGGGTGGAAGGAGGAAATGGAATTGGCGTCGGAGGAGGAGGAGGAGGAGGAGGAGGTGGAGCTGAAGACTGGGAGGATGGGGACACTCCTCTACGGCAGCTCGACGCTGTCGACGGAGAAGAGAGGGACGGAGCCAGAGCGCCACGAGCTGTCGATAACCAGTACTCCTTCTTCTGAAGGAGGAGTCACTGTGTGTGTGTGCGCGTATGTGTTTGTGTGTGTGTGCGTGCGCGTGTGTGTGTGTTTGTAAACACACACATCATAGCCATTCATAACCAGTATTTTTATTTTGTTAGTGAGCTGGAGAAGACTAGGGAGGAGGAGGAGGAGGAGGAGGAGGAGGATTACTACTGACCATATAGAACAGGGAGAGAGAAGGGAGGCGCTCATCCACACTGACATGTCGGTACGACTCTTTTTGAAAGACAAAAACACTAATTATCACTGAGGACATCACAGCAGCCTCCCGTCATAACACTTAAAGCAGCAGCAGTCTTAAAGGGACGGTACGTCTGATGTTGGGCCCGAGTGAAAACAAGCTGCGTCTCACCGGTTTAAATTATAGACCAAACCTCAGAGAAAATCTGGGATTTGAACCCGCAGACCAGAGTCCATAGAGAAAATCTGTGATTTTAGGTTACACAGACACAGGAGTTCCTGGTCCACGGCTGCCTCGTTCACTACGTTATTCTGTGGCGTCACTGTTTGAAAATACTTTGTTCAGATTAGCCTCAGTGACACAAACTGACCTCAGGAGGCAGCAGTGGACCAGCAGCTCCTGTCTCTCTGGGCTCTAAGGTCTCAGGTGTAGTGAGAGTGCCTGTTTACAGCCCACAGTTGAGGTTGTAGACGTTTGAACTGTGAGGTGACGGCTTGTTCAGGATCTATACTTTGGTTCAGAGTGAATTCTCGAAGTTCGCAGTCATTTCGTCAACTGTTGAGCAGAAACTCAGACCCTTCGTCTGTCGTTCTCGTCTTCTACTCTTCCGTTTGATTGACTGAAACGCGAGGCCCCGACCTTTCAGTGGTCATGGTCTCCTTGCTACAGCACATTGCAGCTCCTCCGCTTTTGTCAGAGGCAGGAGGAGTTTGGTTTATGTTGGTCTACACAGGATCATAGAAATACCTCAGTCACACTCAGTGTCTCTCGCTCACTCTCTCTCCCTTTCTCTATGTTTCATGAACTGAAAAATAAAGACTGAAGAGTAGAACAGAAATCTGGTCGTGATATAGCAGTCATCATCGTCATCCTCCTCCTCATCGTCAGCACTAGAATGACATTTTATTCTTGAGCTTTCTTTGGACTCCTCCCTCCTGATTGTTCTTTTTTTCTCCTCTGATTCAGTTCTCAGGACTAAGAACTTAGAGAAGAATTGTTATTTTCTGCCTTCAAATCGCATAATTCTGTACAAAGGTCTTAAAAGATTCAATTTTTAAAAAGGGTTAGAGATTGGACTCCGACCTCCGGAGTCCAAGTGAAAACAGTTAGTTATGAGAATTTACATTTCAGAAAAATAATATTTTCTCTGTGGCCCTTTTTTTAACATGTTTTTACCATTTTAATCTTGTTTTCTTTTTACTTTTGAGTTATCCAAGATGCGGGAGATAAAGATGTGAATACTGTTGGTGGTCTCCTCCTCCTCCTCCTCCTCTTTCTCTGTCAACACTAAGAAAAATAAGTTTAAACAGCAGTGATAGCAGAAATCTTGATGAAACACTTTTTCTACTGTGTGCCTTTCTGTGTCCCCAGTCTTACCCACCAGGTTGTCTTTTTCTTTCCCAGTCGTTCCGTTTCATGGCTAATCTCCCCCCACATGGCCGCGCCCACCGCTATGTTTAGACCTACTTTCTGTTCGTTGCCCAGTGTTTAAGCCTGATCTCACTTTTTGCTAACGTCGGTGCCTTTCTCTCTATTTTTCCTTCTCTTTCTCTCTCTCTCTCTCTCTCTCTTGGCTGGGATTGTGTGTGGAAGGCAGCCAATTTTCCTCTGTCATCCTCGTGTGGTTAGTTTCAGGTACTACATTGAATTAAATGATAATGATATAATATAAATATAGTGAAACCGGATCCTGTTGTGTCTGTGTTTTATTTATTTCCTCATGTCGACCAACATACCTCCCCCTTGTGGACTCTTATTTCATAAACATAGTAATAAAAAAAAAGCTTTGCTAGTTACTGAAATGATACATTGAAAAGAAAAAACGAAAATATATCAAAGCCTGGCTAGGTGGTTAGCTTAGATTAGCCGAATCTACCAAGAGAATAAAGAAATGAAATATAAAATAATGGCAGAGAGGAGATTATTACAAGATCGCTGTAAATGTTGCAAATTGAACCAATGGACTCAAATCTTAAGAATTGCTAATGGAATGAAACGGCAAAATTGTGTTCCACGATACGGGCGTAAAGCCTAAAATGGCGTCACGGAAATAGCATTAGGGTGGTGAGAGCTCACGTCACAAACAAAAATATATTTTTTTACTTTACAAAAACTAAATTTCATGTTTGGAATTTTCAGGGTTTTTTTTTTAAAAACCTGCAGACTCTCTCCTCTCCAACTGAGGGCGCTCTCGAAACACAGTGAAACCCAACATGATCGAAGAAGTAATTGGCCGCACTGTTTGCTCACTGTTAGCTCGGTTGCTACGTAAATAAACTGAAGGTAAGCATTGGTAGCTGTATTTAACTAGAAAAAAATTAGTTCGTGTTTTCAGCCTTGGTTCATGTTTATCATCCTTAACATTTAGGAGAGTTTGGTTAAAACAAGTCATTGTACATACAAAATACTGATGTAAACTGTTGACCAAATTGTGTTTTTTATAGTTTTTTTTTTTATAAAAAGGTGCGGCTTTAATTTGACTTCGCAGCTAACATTTCACTATTGTTTGTCTAACATAAGGTTTTTAACATTTGTGAAAATGTGCATTTATTTCACTGCTAAATTGAAGTCATTTCTCATCAGGTTTGGCGATGGTCAGTTAATAGATGTTTCATGTGTGGATCTAGTCCATCTTTCCAGGACCTGTTATTGCCATTTTTAAGGTGTATCTTAACTAATTTACATAAGATTTTCTCCATTGAAGCAGGTTTTGACGATGTCGGCCGACACTAAGATCGCTGAGCTGTTGACTGAGCTCCATCAGCTAATCAAACAGACGCAGGTAAATCCAGCAGCCTCTGGTAAAACTCACAAACACAGAGGAAATTATTTTAGAAACTTTCATCAAGTTTTGTTTTGTTTTGTTTTTTTCCCTAGGAGGAAAGGTCTCGCAGTGAACACAATCTACTCAACATCCAGAAAACCCACGAGAGGATGCAGACGGAGAATAAAAGTTGGTCCTTTTTTTTTGTTCCTCAATCCAACATTTTAGAAGATGAGAGGCAGAGGCGATTCGTTCTAACTGATGCTTCTGTGTCTGTGTCCTCAGCTTCTCCATATTATCGAACCAAACTGCGAGGATTGTACACCACGGCTAAGGCAGATGCTGAGGCTGAGTGCAGGCAAGTAACACACTTTTGGCTTATGCTTTGCTTTTGTACCTTTGCTTATCTTGTTTAGGATTTTTTTGCCATAATTAAGCTTTTTCACAATAAACTATTTCTTAAATTTAGGCTTCTCTTCTAAACATTTAGCATTTTTGTCATATTGAACTTCGGTGTTGCAGCATCCTTCGTCACGCCCTGGACAAAATCGCAGAAATCAAGTCACTGTTGGAGGAAAGGAGAATTGGTAAGAAAAACAATGCAGTGAAAACAGATTACTGTCATGACTGTTTTCTAACTTTTCTCTTTTTTTTTAAATTCAGCTGCTAAGATGGCAGGAGTGTACAGTGACGGCGACCCTCCAAGGAAGACGATGAGGCGCGGTGTCCTGATGACGCTCCTGCAGCAGTCGGCCATGACACTCCCACTGTGGATCGGAAAACCGGGAGAGAGGTAAGAGTCGATACGGGGATGGACCGTTGATCTGAACGTGTCGCTGGGCCTCCGTGTTGATACGAGGGCATCAAACAGAACACTGACTTTGTCCTGGTTGTCGTAGTAGCCATCACTTCCATCTTCAGCGTGAGGAGGACACTTCACAGGCACACTGTCCCCCCCCTGTCTTTCAGCCCTCCTCCATTGTGTGGCGCCACTCCTGCCAGCAGTGACTACGTGGCCAAACAGGGAGACAAAGTGGCGGCAAGAGTCAAAACTACAGACGGGGATGAGCAGTGGATCCTGGCCGAGGTGGTCAGCTACAACCACGGCACCAACAAGTGAGGCACACACACACACACATATACTGCACACTCAACGTAACAAGCACAGATGCCGTGATGACATCGCAGCTAGTGACTTTGAGTGTTTTCGTCCACACAGATATGAAGTGGACGACATTGACGAAGAGGGAAAAGAGTGAGTTCACCCTTTTACATCTGACATCACACTCTCTCCTCACAGACCAAACCTCACGGAGATCATCAGTGATTTTACCTCAACACTGGGGCCTCTGCTGCCTCTGTCATCAAGCTTAGATGTGTTTCTTGGTGACATCACTGTTTCAATCCTTCAGTTCAGATTTAGCGCAGTGACACAAACTAAACACAAGAGGCAGCAGTGAACCAAAAGCTGGGTCTGAGCTAAAATTGCAGATGTTCTCTGTTGATGTTCAATCTTCAGAGTTAAAATAACAGACTCTCTTCATGAGGTTTGCAAGGGGTCAGTGGGTGGTTTATAATTTTTTTTTGGTCTATTTTCCACAAATTTCAGGCCTTGTTTTTTAGCTTTTGTTATCTGTGTGTTTGTGAGAAGGAGACACACTCTGAGTCGGCGGCGGATCATCCCACTGCCTCAGTGGAAAGCCAACTCAGAGACGGACCCTGAAGCTCTGTTTAGCAAAGACCAACTGGTTCTGGCGCTTTACCCACAAACCACCTGTTTCTACCGGGCCCTTATCCACACGCCGCCACACAGGGTGAGTGTCAGAAACAAGACAAAAAACAAAACAAAACAAATATTCCTAAAAAGTACAGGCCACAGCCGTGGACATAAGAGACAAAACAAATATTCCTAAAAAGTACAGACCACAGCTGTGAACATAACAGAAAAAGAACGGTGTAAAAAAAAGAGTCTCAGTAATTTGACTGACTTAATGTGATGTCATTAACTTAAAAAAAAACCAAACAAACACTTGTCTTTGTTCTTCAGCCGCAGGACGACTACTCGGTGCTGTTCGAGGACACGTCTTACGCTGACGGTTACTCACCGCCTCTGAACGTGGCTCAGCGCTACGTTGTCGCTTGTAAAGAGAACAAAAAGAAATGAAGAGAAGGCTGTGCTGTGTGCGCCCCCCGTGGCTGGCAGAAGGACAGCAGCTTTAATACAGTTGTAAATGTTGAAGTGATTTCTTTTTTTACATGTCAATCATTGTTCAGTAAAAGTTTCTTCTGGACTTTCTTCGTCGTTGCATCAGTTTTGACACTTTAACACTCTAAGTCCATTTAAAGTCTTTAAAATACAAAATAACAATAAAAACAACATTAATAATATGTACTAATAATATTGTTTAACTTGTATCTTTAGGTTTTGTGATTTAATTTGGTAACTTTAAATAATGTTTTTCCTCAGCTTTTTTACGACTAATAATATTGTTTAACTTGTATCTTCAGGTTTTGTGATTTAATTTGGTAACGTTAAATAATGTTCTTTTTCCTCAGCTTTTTTACATTTTAAAAACAAAACTTTTCCAACAAAACTTGAGTCTTTGGTTGTTACCAACATTAATGGAGCTCTTTTGCAAACATTGACTTTTGACAGTTTATTTTTTATTGACTTACTGGTTAATTCTAAGTCAAGCCTCCCGTACACTTCCCTCAGCAACTACCGCGGCTGAAGGAGGTGCAGTTTCCATCGGTCCGTGAACGCACCAACAGCATAGCGGGAAACGAAGAAGAAGAAGCTCCAAAATGGAGGACACGGTGAGTTTGAGTTCCTTCTTTTTATTAAGGTTAAACGCTACTTTCAGCGTGACTGGTCTCATCAATGACAGCAACACAGTCACGAACTAGTCGCGTTTGTGAGCTAAAGTGTACAAAGGAACAGTAAAATACAAAAAGAAGGACGTTTCAAACCAAAAACCATAACGTTTGTCCGTGAGTGAGGTTGGCGGCTTCATCTACGTCCTTTCAAAATAAAAGTTTTCAACATTAATTCATTTTCCTGCTCACTGGGTTACTTTGACATTTTAATATTCTGCCTTGTTCTTTTTTTAAACATTTAACACATATTTTATGTAATTCTGATGAAAAAATAGGAAAAGAAAAACTAACCCTAACTTTTTTTCAGAGATGTCAATTTTTTTGTTCTTGACATTTATTCATGAAGGTTTCTGACGGTGCCTTGAAACCTCCCAACAAACGTCGACGAGTCCTGGACCCATCATCCATCGTCCCGGTGCCGGTCTACTCCAGCAGGGTATAGAAGTCTGGCTGTTCCTTGTCAGAGTTTTTGCTGTTGTTGTTTTGTTTTGTTTTTTCTTCTAATGCTGAAAGTTTTTGTTTTCAGGTGAACAACAGTCTACAGCTGAGACCAATGACGTCTTTCTCCACAGAGCCTCAGATGACAGGTAAGAGGATCTTTTCACATTCCACTCCTGAAGCTGCTGCTGCTGCTGCTGATGTTTCTGTTTGCAACCAGATGATGGCGCTGATGACTTTTTGTGGTCAGAGTTCTCCCCCTCTCTGAGAAAGTTGCCTGCAGTCACACTCAGTGACTCAGAGGAGGAAGAAGGAGAACATGTGGAGGAGAAACCAGAGACAAAACGCGTGTAGGAGAAAATGCTGAAAACTTTTAGCTAACTGTTAGATATTGCATTTTTTAGCTACTTTTCACTGTTGTCTTTTTTTCAGGGTCTTCTCTCCATCTCCTCCTCCTCCACTTCCTGCTCCTGAAAGTCCAGTCCACAAACAGTCCAAACATGTTCGCAAGAAGATCAGGTTTTTCTTTTTTCTTTGCTGCCTGAACTAAAAATGAACGAAACTAAAACTAAAAATTTCATGTAGAAAAAGTCTGTGGATTTGTGTAGCTGACGTGGTCATTGTCCCGTTTCAGTGAGGTGGAGCATCAACTACAGCAGGCCCTGCTTTCTCCAGAACCTCAGGGTCACAGGGCATCCAGACGCCGGCGCCGACAAGGCAACCGCCGCGGCCAAGAGTCCTGGTCATCGGCGTCACAGGATGGGGAGAAAAGTGACGATGACGTCATCATTGTAAACTCACCACCACAGACCTGCACCGAGCGGGAAATCCCCCTGAAGATCCGCTGTCGGACTGAGGTCCACAAGATTCCCGTCCTGCCTGTAAGTGTTTACTTCACACTCTAGGATAAACATAGATGTTTGGAATTAGAGTACAGTACTGCAGTACAATTGGAGCTTAGAATATAAAGTACTAATGTTTATAATACACAGTATAGCGGATCAGGAAGGAATAGAAAAAAGAAAAGTTGGGATGCTTTAATGTTCTTTCCTGTTTCCTCCGAAGTCCACTCCTCTGAGCCAAGTTCTCACTCGACTCTCCTCCATCCTCAACGTCCCCCCCTCTGCTCTGCTCTTGCTCAGGGAGGAGTTGGAACTCCCTCAGGACTCCAGTGTTGGAGAACTCGGCCTCGGCATCACAGACATTTTAGGTGACCGGCTCCAACCTTCATTTTTACTTCTCTTCCATTCGGGGTCCTGACATTCAGGATGACTAAAACCTTTTTTCCCCCTCCCCTGCAGAGTGTGTCGTCATGGTAACCGCTGACAGAACCACACCTGAGGAGGGTGTGATCAAGTTCAGGGTGCAGAGCAAAGATCGAGACGCTTCACAGGAGTTTTCTCTGCACAGAGTTAGTTTCTGATTTTGTGTCACTTCCTGTGACTCATTCGACGCACATTTGTTGCTAACCTTTAGCTGTCCTGTTGTGTTGTAGGATGCAGCTTTGGGCTCGGTCTTGACTCCGTACCTGTCATGTTTTCCTCCATGCGCTCGGAAGAAGGTGGTTTTCCACTTTGACGGCAGCAAAGTGTCTCTGACACAGACGCCCGCAGAGCTGGACATGGAGGACGGAGACATCCTGGAAGTCTGGACCTAGGACCAACATCTTCTCTGGTCTCTTGTCTCTGAGAAGGACAGTGTGTAAAAGTTGTCTGTTTACATTGACTTGTTTTCTGTTGTTTATTGTCATTGGAATTTGTAATAAACTGAGCGGTTTTGTGGAGGTGACTTTTGTGGTGGTTTTTATTTACTTCACATTGGCAAAATTTTAATTTGTCATCAGCGCCCCCTGCTGCTGGATCCAGCCTGTAGTTCAGAGGCCTGCAGGGACCAGTCTGCTGCCGTCAGTAACTTAGTGAAATGTGTAAAAGCTGTGAGTAGATTAAAGATGTGATCAGATTGATCAGAGGGAAGTTGTGGATGAATCATGATTTAATCAGGGTTGATCAATAGCTTTGACTGTCAGTGTGTGCTCGCTCCTTTACGGTGGGGTTAATCTTAGGGCTAGATTTTTGCATTGAAAGGTATCAAAGAGAAGAACAAATAAAAAAGGAAATTAATGAGGTGAGAAGAGGAAGAACCGGTAAGATAATATGAAACAGATCTGAGCGGAACCAACGTCCTGTCTCGTTCTAAACAGCAACAAATGAGGGCTTTTCTTGGTGCAAACTTGCATTTGTGAATCTCAAAGTGTTGTTTCGTGAGACATGTTTTGTAACTTGCATTTGTGAATCTCAAAGTGTTATTTCGTTAGACATGTGCTTTGTTTTGATTTTTTGTCCTATTATCGTTGAGGTAATCGGGTTCAAACTGCACATCCTTCTGAAACTACACTGTTGGCGTCTCTCGATACGATAATCAGCCGAGAATCAAAGGCGCTTCTTCTTCCTCTTTTTTAGTCATTAAAGTGTATCTGACGTCACCGTCTTGTCACGTTAAAGAGGCATCACGTGACCGCTGGTCATGTGAACGGCAGAGCCGGAAGTGAGCAAAAATAAGAAACACTAGCGTCATGGCGGCGCAGTAGTCAAAACATTTCTCTCATGTCTGAGGTTTTTAAAGTTTAAGAACTGAACTTTTATTTGGGATTCTACATATTTTTATTCTCTGCCGCACCGACTTCACGGTTCCACGGATGACGGAATGAGTTCAACGCGAGGGTGACGTAGGAGAGAAGAAACAGCAGCGTTAGCGGGGAGTCAGCCGCAGGTAAACAAAGATCATAGGATACGATTCGGATTACTCACCAGACCGGACTCGGTCACGATCTGTTTAGGGTTATTACAACAGTAATCATTTAATCACATTTATTAGTAAACGTGACGAGATATTAGCATCACGCGAAACCGACCAGGCGATTCTTACTAAGAGAAAATATGTTTCAATAACAGATGTTTGTGTTAGAAACAGACAAAACGTTAGCAAAAAAATAGACACTGCCTGACGATGACCAGCAAAGATCTGTAGCTCGGGTAACTAAAAATTTAAATGAATAAAGAACGTTAGCGGCCTGTCTTACAAAAAAAAATAAAAAAATAGCCAAAGATAAGGTGAAACAACAACAACAGAAAGTGTCAACGATTTAAGAACAAAACTGCAGCTAAAATGTATGGTAAGTTCAAAGGTCGGTGTTGAAAAAGTTTTGGAGATTTACGAAAAAGATCCACCTACAACCAGCCTTTAAACATCCAATAAGATCTGTCTCTGTCTAAACTTATACTCCTAAAATGTTTTTGTTGTTTATCTGTAGTAGTGACTATCATCATCCTATTGTTGGTTAATATTTAGCTTATTTTGCAGTGACCTTTTTGTCCGAAAACTGCAGTTTTCAACAGATTGATTTAACTATTTACTTAAATCCAAACGGCAGGCGGTCAGAAACGTTTTTTTGTTTTTTTTTATCGCTGCCGATGTTCAACATGTTCTGTCTCCTGTCTCCAGCGTCCATCATGTCTCGGGCCGAGACCATGTCAGACACGGTGCCGTTCTTTTCCGATGATAGCGAGACGGAGCCTCAGGAGGACGGTGGCAGCAGCACGGTGGCGCAGGGACCGCAGGAGGAGCAGCCCAGCGGCGTGTCCAAAGTCCGAGCCCTGCTGACCGTCTTCATCCTCTGCTACATCAACCTGCTCAACTACATGGACCGGTTCACAGTGGCAGGTACAGGGTTCTATCAAAGACCAATACTGTTCCCTAGTGCCCCCTGCAGGCAGATGTGTTCTCACGGTTTTCAATAAATTTTTGCTGTTTTTTTTTTTCAGGAGTTCTTCCAGACATCGAGAATTATTTTCAGATTGATGATGGAAAGTCTGGTTTGCTACAAACTGGTGAGAAAATTCTTTGGTCCGACTGTTCAGTTTCTTACCGTACTTCGCAGTTGGTGCGTACAAACTGGTGAGAAAATTCTTTGGTCCAACTTTTCAGTTTCTTTCCGTACTTTGCAGTTTTAATGCTGAATTTCCCGACTGTGGTTCTTCTGCTCAACTCTTCAGTTCAAAGACGACCTCTGTTTTGAGTTTGTTTTTTTATTTCTCCATCTTTGACAGTTTTCATCTGCAGCTATATGTTCCTGGCCCCGCTCTTTGGTTACCTTGGCGACCGCTACAACAGGAAGTTGATCATGAGTTGTGGAATCACATTCTGGTCTTTGGTGACACTGGCCAGTTCGTACACACCCAGAGACGTGAGTTTGTCTCTCCCACAACCGTGTGTCTGAGTTAACAAGAAATAATTCAGTCCATCAAAATATCAGGAAATCAGTAAAAAAAATATCCTGGAAAATTGATCAAAACTATTTCAGAAACAGCTAAAGGTTAGCTAAAAAATACCAACATGTCTGACTTTTTTTTTTTGCTTTCTTGCTGGCAGTACTTCTGGTTGCTGCTGCTCACCCGGGGTCTGGTGGGTGTGGGGGAGGCCAGTTACTCCACCATTGCTCCCACCATCATCGCCGACCTTTACGTGAAGGAGAAGAGAACCAACATGCTGTCCATCTTTTATTTTGCCATTCCAGTTGGCAGGTAGGGAGGGGGTCAGCAGGGTGGGGGGGTGACACATGCAATTACCCACACCTTTAGTGCCCCCTGCTGGTAGAGTGAACACTGACGCTGAAGCCCATGGTGTTGATAGAATCTGTTCAACTGTTGATCAGTTTGACTCTCCAACACCAGACATGAAGGAAGATGAGTGAATTATCTTCACAGAGGTTGTTAATCCACCGCTGCCTCCGTCACCACTGTTATTAGCTCATGACACAAACTGACCACAGGAGGCAGCAGTGAACCGGCAGCTGCTGAATCTCTGAGACCTAAAATTGAGTGATTTCTTTATGGACTTTGGTGTGAGAGAGTCACAAAGGTTTCGCTGAGTTGTGGTTTCAGCAGCACGGCGACCTCGTGACCTCCAAAAGCAGAACACAGACAGGGAAGTCAGCGTCACATGTTTGTACCTGGTTTACTGACTCTGTGTTCTTGTCTCTTGTCCATCGCTGGGATCAGTGCTAGAAACTGTTCACAGGAGAGACTTCACTAACCCTGAAATGTTAACGTTACATTTATCAAATGAATACAGAGAAAAAATGATGTTGTTGTTGTTGTTGTTGTTGTTGTCGTTGTTGTTGTTGTTGTTGTTGTGTCTCACTGTCCTGTGTCCGTCTGCTCGTCCTCTCAGTGGACTGGGTTACATCGTGGGATCACAGGTCGGGAGAATTGCAAATGACTGGCACTCTGCTCTGAGGGTACGCCTGTTATCACCTGTTATCACCTGTTGTCCACAGTGTTTGTTTTTAATGTTGCCCGTGAGGTTCTGTGGTTCTGACCCTGTTGTCTGTGGGTCAGGTGACTCCAGCCCTGGGCCTGGTCGCAGTCGTGCTTCTGATCTTCGTGGTCCAGGAACCCAAACGAGGGGCCATCGAGGCCCGACCCGAGCATCAGCTGCACCGGACCAGCTGGATGACGGACCTTCAGGTGCTCAGCGGGAAGTAGGTTCTGTTTTGATGTCGCTGTTCAAGTTCATGGTACTGTTTATATTGATGGTCCCGTCACGTCAGGCTGCGACTTTAGTTTGATCGGTTCTGACTCGGTACGTCTGGAACCATCACCGTGATGAAACATAAAACCTTTTTTTTGTTCTTCTTCTGTTTATTTAGCTGCAGTTTTGTCTTGTCCACTCTGGGCTTCACAGCCGTGGCCTTCGTCACCGGGTCTCTGGCTCTGTGGGCCCCCACCTTCCTGCTCAGGGCCACCATCTTCTCTGGGGTAAAGGCCCCGTGTGTGGACGGACACTGCTCCACCACTGACAGGTGAGAGAGTCAGCCGACGACAGCCACTTACTAAGAGTTAGCTCGGAAGTCGCTAAATAGCCCTGAGCTAACTTCCTGTCCAACAGGAAGTTGTACAATAAAACTGGTCACACAGTTGGACTTTACTGTGAAAAGGTGTCTGGATCTGGGTTTTTTTTTCTCTCTTTTCAGCCTGATTTTTGGATCAATCACCTGCGTGACGGGTGTGCTGGGCGTGGCCAGTGGCGTCCTGGTGAGTCGTCACCTGAGAAAGGTAACGCCCAGAGCCGACCCGCTGGTCTGTGCGGCCGGACTGCTGATGTCGGCGCCCTTCCTTTACCTGGCCATTGTTTTCGCCGAAACCAGTATCGTCGCCACATACGTGAGTTCACAGTGTCCCCCGTCTCAGTGTCCCCCTGTCTCAGTGTCCCCCTGTCTCAGTGTCCCCCCTCTGAGTGTCCCCCCCTCTGAGTGTCCCCTCCTCTGGGTGTCCCCCCTCTGAGTGTCCCCCTGTCTCAGTGTCCCCCTGTCTCAGTGTCCCCCCTCCACGTGTCCCACATTTGTCTCCTCCACCTCTGAGGCAGTGGTTCTACAGCTGTGGTTGGTGTCTCCTCAGGTGTTCATCTTCCTGGGGGAAACCTTCCTGAGCATGAACTGGGCCATCGTGGCCGACATCCTGTTGGTGAGAATCCAATCAGAACTCTCTCAGGTTTTTTTCTCTTCGTCACCTCTTGGTTTTTCTCTTTTCTCAAAGTTTGTTTGTTTTTTTTTTCCTTCCTCAGTACGTGGTCGTTCCCACGCGACGCTCCACGGCCGAAGCACTACAGATCGTCATCTCACATCTGCTGGGAGACGCCGGGAGCCCCTACGTGATTGGAGTGGTATTGCATCATCATCATTATCATCTACAAATACTTGCTTAATAACACAGTCAGTCCCTTTGAGCTAAAATCCCTGTTGTTCTCCCTGGAGTTGGACGTAGGCGCGTGATTGGTCCATCAACCTTTACTGTTGTTGTTAGTGCTGCAGTGTTTCTGGACGGTTTTTGTGTTTATGGCGATGTTACTGACGACGTGTGGATGGCGCCTCCCTCAGGTTTCGGACTCTCTGAGGAGAACTGACTCCTACCTGTGGCAGTTCCGCTCACTGCAGCTGTCTCTGCTGCTCTGTGCCTTCGTGGCGGTGATCGGCGGAGCCTTCTTCCTGGCGACCGCTCTGTTCATAGAGAGAGATCGGCATCGAGCTGAAAAGACCTGTACAGGTGAGGAGGGGGAGTCCAGTCGGACATGGGTAAAAAAAATAGAGCAAGAACAGTAATAAAAGGCTCGGAATAATGTCAAATAACCCGCTTTTTGTTCTTGTTCTTTACAGATGACGAACCCATCGTCGTCCCTCAGAGCGGTCGCTCCACTTCGGTCCCAGTTTCCAGCGTCCTGATCTGATGTCACTACACGTTTCCTGGATTCTCTGCCATGCAGAAATATTTTAGGACGAGACTTTTTAATGTTTTTTGTCGTAGCTAACAGTTTTATATAATGTCCTTTGGATGATGTCATTCGTCAGGACGACATCTGTTTTTAAAAACAGGATCTGATTTTTTTTTTTTATGTTATTGTTATTAGGTTCTGACCTCGGGACAGCTGTTGTGCTGCTGTTCGACAGAACCTTCTCAGCTTTTTTAACTGTGGCTGATTCTTCAGGACATTGAGTGAAGTTTTATTTCTAATGTGCCACAAACTTTAACTAATATTTAAAGGAAAGTCGAGAGGATCGGAGTGTGTTGGTGAAACCAACAGGCTGAAGGCGGTGAAACGAAACGTGATGAAGAAATTTCACTGATTTTCTCTACGGACTCTGGTGTCCATGAACGATGGCATTAATACTAGTTATTAAGGAATAAAAAACACTCTGGGAAAATGACGCAGATCACGTGTATCTGACCTCCTGTTGTCATGTTTTTTCCAAACTGAAAGAAGGTTGAAACGGTTGTTTGTGTGAGGATGGAATTATTATTAAAGTTGGATGAAAACAAACACGAATTCTCCTTTTGTACTGGAGTCACATGTTTATGATAAATGTGAAGCCGAAGATCAGAAGATCAACTTTTTAAATACAACCACAAATAGAGATGGAAGGAAACTTTAGCCTGGAATATTTAGCCAATAAATAGCTAAAGGTTAGCCAGAGCCACATCTTTCTGTTAGCTGAGACGTTCAGATCAGATTTTTTGGAACAACTAAAATTCAGTAACAAAATGGAACCGATTGAACTGAATTGAACGTATCACTACTTCACACTGTGAAACAGACTGACTCTGTCGGCCGACTTCCTGTCTGTGAGGAGTGATGCAGAGCTGATATGTTGATATGAATGTCAGGTGGCTGAACGTTGACTTTTCTCTCTGAGCAGCGAGAGCAGGCAGAGGTGTCGGTGCCTCAGCAGGTGCTGCTGCTGCTGCTGTGGTTTCCTGTTTGTAGATGTGAGGGTGTTGAACTGTTGCAGCAGCAGCAGCAGCAGCAGCAGCAGCAGCAGCAGCATGGACTCGACTCCATCACCTCGTGTTTGACCTTGGGCCACTTTTCAGACTCTGAGATCTTCAGAGATCTTTTCTGAGGTCGGCGGGGTCGTCTGCGTTGTCTTCCCAGGTTTGAGGACGTCAAGATGGAAGAGCGGGGGCGTTGGCGGGAAGCCGACGAGCGTGTCGGCCAAAGACTCGAGAGCTGATTGGCTACAGTCATACAGGAAGAGAAGGAGGAAAGGGGAGGAGCTGAAGTCTGTGGCTGATGGTGCTCAGAGGCGGTTGGAGGTCGTCTTCAGACATGGCAGATGTTTGATGTCAGCAGAGCGCAGAAGAACCCTCGCAGCACCAAGAAAACTGAAGAAGGCCCGAGATCGCCACCTGATGATCCAGGAGCCGTCCTCCCAGGGTGTAGGTGAGTTTCCCAGGTACGTCCACCTCCTGACGCCGTGCCCGAGGCCGTCCTGGAGTCATGTGACTGACGTGAATGTGACCTGCTAACCCCCGGCTGCCTCGCTGGTCGGCCTCCGCGTCCGTTCCTCACACAGTGATCGTCTCAGACGAACTCCAGGAATCTTGGAGAACCGCCTCCGTCAGACCGTTTTGTGCCGCACCGACCCTCACAGAGGGAATCGGTGATTCTGACTGGCTGAGACACCTGCTCCACGGCTGCCTCCATCACTGAACTCAAATGTGGTATTTTACAACGTCACTGTGTGAAAAGAGTTTGTCAAAGTAGGAAATTTACATTTAAATTTATTTTGTGCTTAAAAGAATAACTTTCTATGGTGACACAAACTGACCACAGGAGGCAGCGGTGGACCAGCAGCTCCTGTGTCTGTGTGTGGGACAGAGAGAGAAAAAACAAAAACACTTTGACCAAATCGTATTGCAGCGGGAGGCTTCTTCTTCTTCTTCTTTTTCTTTTTTTTTTTGCCATCGTCTTTCATCTCTCTGTCAGTGTGTGTGTGTGTGTGTGTGTGTTCCTGTGTGACTCACCTCTCTGAGGAGGAGGATGTTCTTCATCGTCCTCCACAGTTTCGTTTTTTTATTTATTTGTTATCACAGTTTTTTTTTTCATATCATCTCCTCCTCCTCTCTGTGTCTCCCCCCCTCCCTCCCCTCCTCCTCCTCCCCCCTCTGATGCGTCACCTCAGACTAACATGGAGGGGGTCTCCTGGTTCCTCCTGCTCCTGTGGATCACCGTCCTGGTCTCCGTGGCTGTGATGCTGCTTCAGTGTTTGAACTGTTGGAACCAAGGAGCACAGGGTGAGGAGCAGACAAGTCCAGCCTTTACACAGTTCATCAAACCACAGACAGACAGACCCAGCCGGGACGAACCGGTACCAACTGGTACTGAGCAAGTACCAGTACTTTCATTTTAGAATTTTTAAAAGAAAAGTCACAAACAGAAGCTACAGCCACTGTGCTAAAACAACCCTTTAACCCTAACCCTCAGTTCCCAGTACCGTTGGGAACAGTCACATGAACAGCTCAACTGTTTGGGTTTTTGTTTTTTTTTTTGGTGGCGATGCTGCCCTCTGCTGATCAGAGACTTTAACGGAGTGTGTTTTGTCCCAGCAGCGTCCATCAGACAGTCTCACCTGTCGGACGAATACATACTGTAAGTGTTCGACCGCTAGCCGTTAGCCCAACGTTAGCCTCACGCTGTCACTGTGGTGGTGGAGATGAAAAAGAACGAAACAAATGTTGGTTTTCTGTCTCTCCTTCAGGTCCAACGAGTTCAGCATCATCCATCCACGTAAGTCAAAGAGACAGAGGTGATGATGATGGTGATGATGATAATGATGATGATGATGATAATGATGATGATGATGATAATGATGATGATGATGATTATGATGATGATGATGATCATGATGATGATGATGATTATGGTGATGATGATAATGATGATGATGATGATCATGATGATGATGATGATGCTGGTGATGGTGATGATGATGATGTTGGTGATGATGATGATGGTACCTTTGCAGTGCATCCGTACAGTCAACAGAACTCCTTCCACTCCGGTCACCACCTGTCTCCACTGAGCTGTCCATCAGAGTGAGTCCAACCTCTGGTTCTGTTCAAACATCTTCTCACCACTTCACTTCACTTTGTTGTTTTTTGGTTTTTTTTTCTGCTTCATTTTCAGCTCTATTTTAGTCACCCGACCCTTCGCCTCCTCAGACACTGGTCAGTTTCACCTTTTTTTTTTTTACAACATTTCTATCTGTATTTACTCCAATCTGTGACCTTTCGTTTCCTCTTCATTTTCAGAAAGTATTCCGAGTTATGAAAATCCCACACAAGGTGAGAAGGAAATGAACTAAAGCCAAGGCCATTTCAATCAGTAAAATCCCAGGAGATATTTGATGATATACAGGTGAAAAAATGTGTCAGATTTAACCAAACCTGCCCGGAGACAGAGTATGATGGACAACAGTGGAGCAGAGCTGATAGTTTATGAAAAAAAAATCCTGTCAACAGGTTTTCTAGATGTTAGTTCAGGTGAGAACAGAAAAGTAGACAAAGATATTGATCTCAATGCTCAGCACCAAAACAGAAGCTAAATGTTAGCATAGAAGTTGAACTTGTAGTTCTGTATTTCTGAACCAACAGTTTGTGGTTTCTTCTCTTCATTTCTGAACCAACAGTTTGTGGTTTCTCTTCTTCCGTGCAGAACCTCAGTACCTGAATTCAGAGCAGAACCCTCCAGACAGTGATGGGGAAGAGCCTGGATACATGTAGTTGTTTTGTTTGTTTGTTTTACCAGCGCCCCCTAATGATTAACACATGAAATTCCTCTGGTTTTTCCAAACCTCACTCTGTCGTTTTGTTTTAACGCAGTATTGTGATTCCGAACTGTGAAGCTCCGACGCCATCCAATCAGAACCGAGACTCGATGCCCACCAGTTCAGGTACAGTTCTGAGATGCACAGATCTATAGAACCAGGAAGTACAGACTGAACCAGGGGCCATTTGTCAAACTGGGACTGATGAACTGTTTCTGTTTTCACAGACGTTCAACATGAGTACGTGAACCTGGAAGGTGAGTGTGACCTACTTTCTGCCGCCGCAGCGAGAACGTAGACCTTCATCACTGTTGATCTGTGTTTCCTTCAAATTCTTCAAATTCTTCCCAAAGAAGAAAATAAGGAAGAGGAAGAGGAAGAGGAGGATGACGATGAACACAACTACCTGAACGTGGAGCCACAGCACTGCCGCAGTGAGTCCTAGCTCAGCTACTTCAGCTGCCAACTCCATTCCACGTCTACCACGGGTCACGTGTTGTGCCCTCTAGTGGTTAGAGGAAATGACTGGCAATCGCAGTGTTTCCAGCTCAAATTCTTTATGACTTGAACAGAAACACATTTATTTATTTTTCCAACTTTTTTGACATCTGTGTTCACACCAACATGTTCAGGAGGAATGTTTTTTTTACCTCCAGAACCAGAGACGTCTGAGTCCGAGTCTGATTCTGAGTCCGGGTCTGATGACTACGTTAACGAGCGTCCGGTAAATACACACCTCAGTGGTTTTTCACCAACTTTACTCCTCCTGCGCCTCCTCCTCACTCTCTGCTCCTCTTCTCTCAGCTGAGTGACAGTCAGCTCAAGGCCTGACGGTTTTCCACGGTCCTCGTCCTCTGTTCTTCAACAGCAGAGTGGGCGGAGCCACGGAGGGCGGAGCCTGCAGACAAAAACAACTCTAATAAAAACCACAGTCACTTTGTTCTGACGCTCCTCTTCAGCAGCTCTGCTCCGGTGTGGGTTCCGACCCGTCTGACACTGACAGGCTCCAGGTTCAAACAGGGCTGCCAGCAGGGGGCGCTGTCACGATGACTGGGCCTGGGTCCAGAGGTCCTGGTGGGGAGACCCCCTGGGGCCCCGACACCAACAGAGAGTTCTGTTTTTTATGTTTTATTTTCTGCTGAATTTGAACAAAATAAGAAGTCACATATTTTTATTGTTGTTTTTTTTTTATTTTTAACTCCTCCTGAGAACTCTGTTGTTGTTGTTGTTGTTGATGATGATGATTTTGTTAAAGGTTGTATTTATGGACATGTGTCTGTTTTATCGCTTAACTTTTACGTTGGAATACATTAAATACAGCAGCCATTTCAGTGCTAACTGTTCATGAATCATTTACAGATAATAATAATAATAATAATAATAATAATAATAATAATAATAATAATAATTGATTCATCGTTAGCTGTACGTGTGCGTGTGTGTTTGGCAGAGAGAGGGAGTTTTTCTCTCCCAGACTTTGGACTTGACTTATCTCTGAACAAAAGTTCACTCTGGCTCTCGGGTCGGTTCTTAGAAATTTGTAAAAAAAAAAAAAAAAAAAAAAAGTTCCAGACAGAGACTTCCAGCTCGGTCCTCCTCCTTCATCCTCCTCCTTCATCCTCCTCCTCCTCCTCTGTCTCCTCCTTCTGTTCCAGCTGTGTCTACTCCTCCTCCTTTACTTCAGCCCTGTTGCTGTTTTTAAGAAACAAGGGTGACCAGTCAGTGGTGACTCACACTGTTGTTAGGTCAGGTGAGTTGGCATGTACACACACACACACACACACACCGACTGAAGGGTGTGTCACAGTAAACCAGGACACAGATAACGTGACCTGTTTTTACAGGATTTTTTTTTTAGATCAAGTTATTTATTAACAAATGACATCTGACACTTTCTCACTGGACTAAAAGCTCATTTAATACATAAATAAATAAAACACTGTGTCAACATCAGCCTTTGATGTATTGTTGATATTTTAGTCTTTTAAATGTATTAACTCATTAATTCATTTCAATAATTGTAATTCAATTTCACTTTACCTGAATCTTTGTGAATCAAGTTTAAGATACAGTTTAAACAAATGTAAAAATTATTTTCTGAACTTTTAGCCTTTTTGATGAACCAGGCTGATCTTCCTAAAACACCATCCCATAACAAACACCTGCAGTAACGTCTCATTTCTTTGTTTTATTTCTCTTTTATCTCTTCTTTTTGACCTACATTTTTGGTGAAACTCTGATCTACTACTTGGCTCTTTTACATTTTATATTTTATTTTTTTTACAAACTGAACCTTTAAAATCTGATGCAACACTTTTTGCGGTAGGACGATATGAAGTGGGCGTGACCGCGCATTGTTGTGGGCGTGGTCAAATGTTCCCGTTATTAAAAAGGAGAGACGCGGTGGAAACCCAGTTTATACAACGTGAACAGTGGGAAATCGAGAAATAAAAGAGTTTTATTTACCTTCAGTCTCAGCTCCGAGCGACAAACATGAGTCACGTGGACGTGAAGAACCTGAAACCGACGCAGTTTGAAGACGAATATTACGATGAATACGAGTACTACAACCTGAGCGACAAATACACAGGTGAGAAAGAGGCATTTTTAATCTTTAACCTGCCGTTGGACTACGTTAAAAGTCGAACGAGAACGTAAACCTGGTCGTCTCATATCGCTGCTCTTCTCTTCACAGAGGGTTCGGCCCGAAAAGGCAGAACCAAGAAGGAGGCGAGCGACAACACCAACCGACACAATCCAGGCGGACACGAGCGCAAGATCGTGGAGAAGCTGCAGAACACTGAAAAGAAAGACAAAGAGTGAAGGACGCGCAGGTGAGCCGTACGTGTAATGTTCGTGAATTAGGAAACGAGCGGGACGTTTGTGACCGTTGACGTAACTGACGCCGTTTGAACTGTGGACCAGACTCCAACTCCAAACTGACACAAATACCGCTGACATCTGGCATCTAGAATTATAACAAAGCATTCAGAATACGGTTCCGAATCAGAACGTTTGGTTTGTTATCAGTTACAGACATTGTCGTTCGAGAAGTCACTGAGATTGTCTGAAACAGTTGTCTCAAAAAAAAAAAACAAAAAAACAAAAAAAAACCCCAACAACATCTGGCGAGGAGGGAAAGTAAACACCACAGCTCTCTCTCTCTCCCTCTCTCTCTCTCTCTCTCTGTGTTAACTCTGTGTTCACCACAGACCGAGTCTGGAGGAAGTCTCTCTCCGTCTGTGAACCACGGTGTCACGGCTTCATTTCCTTCCTCCAATCAATACTAACGTAGTAAATTAGCACGTCTTTAAACGAAGTCTGGTAAAGACACTTTTCCCTGTGCTTTGCGCGCCCTCTGCTGTTTCATCTTATGTATGACGACATGTGCCAACAGTAAAATTAATAATAATTAATAATTGCTGGTTAAAATTAAGGATTTGAGTTCCTGTGACGTCTGTATTAGACCACGTTACTAACTCCTCACTTACCATGAAATAGCCATGTGTTATTGTATGGTTTGTTCTTAAATGTAACTATTTTAAAATGATTTATTTATGAGGTTTTTGCCAAACTTTACCCAATATTATTTTTAATTTTTCTTTTCTACCTTTTTTCTAACCCCAAAACACAATTTTTTTTCACTGTCCTGATGCAGGAAAACTCGGACGGCCTTTTTCTGGACATGGACCATGGTTTCCTTGCAACAGAATGAAATGTGGTGCAGCACGGGGCAGAGGTTCACGCCCTAATGTGGGCGGTTTTACCTTGACATGAAAGTCGACGCATCCTCATGGGTGACCTCTGCCGAGACCGCAGGTGTGGAGATGTGTGCCCACCTGTGGAGGCGAGTGCATGTGGTCCTTGCGCGCTCGTCAATGTTGTTGATGTTGTTTATTTTTTCCTTTTCTCTAATATGTAACCCCCCCATCCTCTCCAAAAATAAAACATACTAATAAACATTTTTATTAAATAAAGTTATTTGGTATTTTTTACTTTTTACTGCCACCTGCAGACAACTAATGGTATGAAAAGTCTCTTCTTTTTTTTCTTTCAGCTTTGTCCCTTTTTCTAACCCCAATTAAAAAAGCAAATCTCTATAACAAGAACGTTGCATAAATAAAATTAAAAATAAAATAGCTAAAGTGAAAGGGAGCATGTGAAAAAATAGCTACACAATTAATGACTAACAGAGTTAGAAAATAACCAAATTAGCTAAGAAAAAAAAGACAAGTCTATATTTATTGGCCAATTAATAATCAGAGGTGCTTAGGTTAAGCCAAAAATATATAAACATAAATTAAAACAACATTTAAAATGTCAGCATTTAGCCTAGTACGGTAGCTAATAATGAAAAACAACTGAACGGTAAAACAAAACAGTGGAGGTTTCCAAAACACAAAGTGTTGAAAATAATGTCAGAATTAGATATATAGACAAAAATTTAAAAATATATTTTAAAGTAAGGTTAACGGAAAACTAGAAAACTAAAGTTATTTATTTCGATTTTGATGACTAAACTAGTTTCAATCCAATCCAGTGGGAGGCGCCAAAGTGCCGTAAACGAGGTTTGGTGAGAAGCCGGTGTGAGCAGAACAAGTAGTGGTCAGCTGATTGAATCACATGACCTCCGTGTTTCGCTGCACTGTTTTTCTCTTCTTGTCTCCTCTCTGCTGCTGTTTCGATGCATTTCTTCATTTTAATGTCCAAAACACTCGTTCAAGCTTCGTTGTCAACTGATAGCCTGACACTACACTGACACTACAGCGCTACAGACCCGGCGGTAAGTTGTATTTATTTCACTTCCGCTTTGTACACGACAACAGCTCGATAACAAAGTCGTGTTTGCCAACTTTGTATCCGTATATCAAGGTAATATTCAGTTTTCCTGTAATTATTTGTAGCACTTTACCTTTTTAAAAAAATGTTATTCTTCAAAATGTTATTCGTTTAATTTTTTATTACTTTGTGGCTAACTTCTAGCTGACATTATCGCTGGGTATTTCTTTTTGACATATATAGCCATTTCTTTAGCCTTTTAGTCTCATTTCACATTTCAATTTTTTTCGAATTATGTATCACTCATTTATTATTTTTTGTGGCAAATTTATAGAATGTTTTTATAGAGACTTTGGAAAAACGTTCGCCTCTCTGTGAACTATTCTTAGAAATTGTCTGTTTTCAGCGACTTATAATGTTTTTTATTATATCATTTTTTTACTAACTTTTTGTTATCTAGTGTTTGTTATATTTTAGCTATCTTGTTGTCTTTCAGTGAAAAACCACAATTGGTTATGTTCACCTACATCTGACTGATTTTATTTGTTTTCTCTTTTTTTTTCTCTAGACATAAAATAACAGAAGGAGTAATAGTTTTATTTGTGGAAGGTCCCTCGCTGCTTCATCATGAGTCCAGAGTCCAAGAAACAGATGAACATCATCATCCTGGGTGTCAGCTTCATGTTCATGTTCACTGCTTTTCAAACATGCGGAAACATCGAGGTTAATTGAAAATATAACAAAAAAAAAAAAAATTTTAAGAAAATTTGGTTTGACTGAAAAACAAAAAAAAGCCCAACATGTATTTTTATTTTTACGTTCTAGCAAACAGTGATAAAGAGCTTCAACAGTTCTGAGTTCCATGGCAGCGGCTACACCAGGGCAGATTGATCTCACTTTGGTCTGTCAGCGGAACTCAGCCGGGTTCTTAATGAAAAAACGCTCTCTCTCTCTCTCCGTCTCTCCGTAGCTCTCTCTCTCTCTCCCTCTCTCCGTCTCCCAGTATGTCCATCATCTATGCCGTCATGTCCACCTCCAACGTTCTGGCTCCTTCAGTGGTGGCCGTCATTGGACCTCAGCTCTCCATGTTCTTCAGTGGACTGTTGTACAGGTGAGGACACGCCCACACTCTCACCTCACTGCATCACCTTCCCCCTGGTTAATCCCAGCTTTGTCTGCAGTGGTTACATCGCCATGTTCATCTACCCGTACACCTGGACCTTCTACACCGCGTCTGTGCTGGTCGGAATCGGAGCCGCAGGTAACCTGACTGATGTTGTCAACATATATATGTCAAAAAAAGTATATATATGTAACTGTCGATATATATGTATATATATGTGTGTATATACTGTATGTATATATGTATATATGTGTATATATGTATGTGTATATATGTATATATGTGTATATATGTATGTGTATATATGTATATATGTGTATATATGTATGTGTATATATGTATATATGTGTATATATGTATGTGTATATATGTATATATGTGTATATATGTATGTGTATATATGTATATATGTGTATATATGTATGTGTATATATGTATATATGTGTATATATGTATGTATATATGTATATGTGTGTGTATATATGTATATACATATGTATATATACACATACATATATATATGTATATATATATGTACATATATACTTGTTCTGATGGAAACTTTGGAAACAATTGTTTTTTTCAACATGTTTTTGTCTTTCTTTGTGTGTGTGTGTGTGTGTGTGTATGTGTGTGTGTGTGTAGTGCTGTGGACAGCTCAGGGAAATGTTCTGACCATCAACTCCACCAACAACACCATTGGACGAAACAGCGGCATCTTCTGGTCACTGCTGCAGTTCAGGTGATTCCAATCATCAGAACCTGAACCAGACTCAGACTCAGCAGTCTCTACAGTGCAGCTCAGAGCTGTGACGCTGGTCTTTGTTCAGATGGTGATGTTTGAGATCGTAAGGACATTGGACGGACATCGGGTTCATTCTGTCCTCTTGTGTCTTCACAGCATGCTGTTTGGGAACCTCTACATTTACTTTGCCTGGCACGGACACGTCCACATCACAGGTAAGGGACGCACGGGTGCGACGGTGAGCTAACGTCCTGCTCCTCCGCCACAGCCGCTCTGATCCTGCTGTTTGTCCCAGACAAAGACCGTCGGACCGTCTTCATCTCTTTGACCGTCATCAGCCTGGTCGGATGCTTTCTCTTCTTCCTCATTCGGACTCCTGAAACCGAGTCTGCCCCCTCTGAGGTTTCCGAGTCGCTGCTTGAGGCGGAGTTTTCAGAGAGCACCACCACCAGGTCAGACGGAAAGCCAGTGATTTTTGCTAACAGTGACACGGCGGTTGTTGATCCACTGCTGACTTCCCGTGTCTCTGTCAGCTAAAATTTCAGATTGTTCTTTTTTTCAGATTGTGTTTTGACCACATGTATAGTTGTTCATAGTGACCTCTGACCTCTCGTCCTCTGTAGCTCTCCTCACTCTGGCCTCTGCTCTCAGGCTCTGGATGCTTTTGGTGAGTTATCCTCACACAGACCAGGTCTCCAGCAGCAGGTGATGATTTCCTCTTCTAACTAACTCTTCTGCGCTGTGTTTCAGTTCAGGTGTGTAAAATAACCGTGACCAAAGAGATGCTGCTGCTCTTCCTCCCGTTGGCGTACTCAGGTGAGCCGAACCAAACAGAACCCACCGAGTTCATATTCATGGTTCAATGTGTTTCTCTTCAACAAAGTAATTCAACAATAAAAGACTCTTCTTCGTTGACGTGAGTTCAAGTCGAAGACATGAACAGCTGCTCTTGTGTCTCAGGTCTGGAGCTTACGTTCTACAGCGGCGTTTACGGGACGTGTATCGGCGCCATGACGGGATTCGGCCAAGACGCCAAGAGTCTGATTGGCATTTCTGGAATCTTCATTGGTGTGGGTGAGATCTTAGGTGAGACTCCTCAGCCGTGAACCTCCAGTTTGACACCAGGGAGTCGTCCTTGTGTGATTCTTTTTTTTTTTCCCTGGTCCTTCCTCTCTTTGGTCAGGAGGGGGCATATTTGGGTTGCTGAACAAGAACAACCGTTTTGGCCGGAACCCTGTGGTTCTGCTTGGTCTCATCACTCACTTTGTGGCCTTTTACTTGATTTTCCTCAACATCGCGAGTGACGCTCCGCTCGCCCCCGAGGCAGGAACCGATAAGCAGGCCTTCATTACTCCCAAGTAAGAAATAACAGTGCAGCGGAGGCAGCAGTGGCTCAACAACCCGTTAGCTGAAATCACTGATTATCACCAGGAGGTTTGGTGTTGTTGGTACTGGAGTTTTTCAGACAGGATGAAGTTGTGAACACATTCTTTATAGACTTTAGTTGGTAAATAGATTTTTTATTTATTTATGCTTATTTATTTATTTATTTGTTTTCCTTTGCGGCTCAGTGTGGGCGTGGCCATGCTGTGCAGTTTCCTGCTGGGTTTGGGCGACAGCTGTTTCAACACTCAGCTCATGAGCATCATCGGCTTCATGTTTCCGGACAACAGCGCCCCCGCCTTCGCCTCACTCAAGCTCATCCAGGTGAGGTGCTTTTTGTTGAGAGTTGTCAGAGTTCAGCTGTTTGAAAAAAAAAAACTTTTGCCAAAAGAGTCATTAAATTTGAAAAAGTCCAACCAGTGGTCAGCTACAAACTGATACACCTCGGTTTTTTTGATTATTAAATGAAAGACATTTTAACTTTAGCCAAAGAATGTGTCACTTGATTTAGTTCCTGGTCCACAAACACTGCCCTCTAGTGGTAAAACTGTTTGCTGGCACGTGATGTTCTGCCATTTAATATAGTTTTATGTATCCTCAGAGTCAGATGGTTGTCAGTTTTAACCCCAGTAAAACGCTTGAGGCGGAGTTTTCAGAGAGCACCACCACCAGGTCAGACGGAAAGCCAGTGATTTTTGCTAACAGTGACACGGCGGTTGTTGATCCACTGCTGACTTCCCGTGTCTCTGTCAGCTAAAATTTCAGATTTTTTTTTTTTTTCAGATTGTGTTTTGACCACATGTATAGTTGTTCATAGTGACCTCTGACCTCTCGTCCTCTGTAGCTCTCCTCACTCTGGCCTCTGCTCTCAGGCTCTGGATGCTTTTGGTGAGTTATCCTCACACAGACCAGGTCTCCAGCAGCAGGTGATGATTTCCTCTTCTAACTAACTCTTCTGCGCTGTGTTTCAGTTCAGGTGTGTAAAATAACCGTGACCAAAGAGATGCTGCTGCTCTTCCTCCCGTTGGCGTACTCAGGTGAGCCGAACCAAACAGAAGTTGAGTTCATATTCATGGTTCAATGTGTTTCTCTTCAACAAAGTAATTCAACAATAAAAGACTCTTCTTCGTTGACGTGAGTTCAAGTCGAAGACATGAACAGCTGCTCTTGTGTCTCAGGTCTGGAGCTTACGTTCTACAGCGGCGTTTACGGGACGTGTATCGGCGCCATGACGGGATTCGGCCAAGACGCCAAGAGTCTGATTGGCATTTCTGGAATCTTCATTGGTGTGGGTGAGATCTTAGGTGAGACTCCTCAGCCGTGAACCTCCAGTTTGACACCAGGGAGGGGTCTTTGTGTCATTCTTTTTTTTTTGTTCTGGTCCTTCCTCTCTTTGGTCAGGAGGGGGCATATTTGGGTTGCTGAACAAGAACAACCGTTTTGGCCGGAACCCTGTGGTTCTGCTTGGTCTCATCACTCACTTTGTGGCCTTTTACTTGATTTTCCTCAACATCGCGAGTGACGCTCCGCTCGCCCCCGAGGCAGGAACCGATAAGCAGGCCTTCATTACTCCCAAGTAAGAAATAACAGTGCAGCGGAGGCAGCAGTGGCTCAACAACCCGTTAGCTGAAATCACTGATTATCACCAGGAGGTTTGGTGTTGTTGGTACTGGAGTTTTTCAGACAGGATGAAGTTGTGATCACATTCTTTATAGACTTTAGTTGGTAAATCGATTTTTTATTTATTTATGCTTATTTATTTATTTATTTGTTTTCCTTTGCGGCTCAGTGTGGGCGTGGCCATGCTGTGCAGTTTCCTGCTGGGTTTGGGCGACAGCTGTTTCAACACTCAGCTCATGAGCATCATCGGCTTCATGTTTCCGGACAACAGCGCCCCCGCCTTCGCCTCACTCAAGCTCATCCAGGTGAGGTGCTTTTTGTTGAGAGTTGTCAGAGTTCAGCTGTTTGAAAAAAACAAAACTTTTGCCAAAAGAGTCATTAAATTTGAAAAAGTCCAACCAGTGGTCAGCTACAAACTGATACACCTCGGTTTTTTTGATTATTAAATGAAAGACATTTTAACTTAAGCCAAAGAATGTGTCACCTGATTTAGTTCCTGATCCACAAACACTGCCCTCTAGTGGTAAAACTGTTTGCTGGCACGTGATGTTCTGCCATTTAATATAGTTTTATGTATCCTCAGAGTCAGATGGTTGTCAGTTTTAACCCCAGTAAAACACCTGATTGATTGATGGATTGATTGATTGATCGATTGGTTTTCCTCAGTGTGTGGCCGCCGCCATCGCCTTCTTCTACAGCAACTTCCTGTTGCTGCACTGGCAGCTCCTGATCCTGGTCCTCACAGGATTCCTTGGAACCATTACCTTCTTCGCTGCGGAGACGCTGGCCGAGTCCAACAGGCGGGAATCCTCAGACTACGGCACCATCTGATTGGTCGACAGGAGAAATCTGAGCTCAGAAAATCGTTTCTGAGGTTTTTGGTTCCCTGCTGAGGGACTGACGTTGTTTTTTTGGGACATCAAACATTCCTCGTCTTTACTGTTCTCTCTCTCTCTCTCTCTGAGTGTTTTTGTTTTTTTCATCTGAGAAGGATCTTGTTGAATCCTGATCCTGAAATCCAAACGTAAGGATTTAATGATCAAGGTTCAAGTCCTTCATGATAAAGATCAAAAACCACTTTCAGGGACTATGATGTCCTCTGACCTAGCATGCTGGAGACCCCCTCCTCAGCTGATGTCCTCTGACCAACCCCTCCTTTGGAGACCTCGTCCTCAGCTGATGTCCTCTGCCCTCCCTCTATAAGGGTCCATGTCCTCAGCTGATGTCCTCTGACCCCCCCGTCCCCTCTTTCACTGTACTCTATACTATTCATGCACTTATGTTAATTTATTCAAATACTAAAGCTAATCAATACTGACACTGATCGACATATTCCTTCTTTATTTTGTCTTGGTTAAAGTCCTCACTTGTTAAGGACATATATTTGTTGAATTGTTGCCTTTGCAGAGAAGAGAACCACTCACTCTCCCACTCCACGGTCCACAGAGAAACTCAGCTATTTTAGCTCACAGGGAGATGGGAGCAGCTGGTCAACTGCCGCCCCCTTTGGTCAGTTTGTGTCACTGAGGCGCGTCTAAATGTAGTAGTGTTCTTTGTGCAGAATCAACAAAACAACATCGTCTGAAGTGAACGATGGATGACAGCAGCTCTGAAATCACTGAGCGTCTCTCAGTGGACGGTGGTGTTGGGGGGGGGGGCGATGTGGTAAATGTCTGTATGATAGGTGTAAAGTGATGAACACATTCTTAAGCGAGCGAGTCTCGAGTTTGCACTTCGGAGATTTTAGTTGTTGACTTTTCCACATCAAAGTCCGTAGAGAAAATTGTTGATTTTTTTAGCTCGCAGGGAAACAGAGTGGGTTTTTTTTCTCTAAGGACGGAGCTGTGGCAGAGTGGGATGTCCACTGTTTACACTGTGTCTGAGGTCAAATCAACTGTCCGGGATTTGAAGGGAATCTTTATGTATACGTTAAGTCTGATTTTATACTGGAATGTTGGAATGATTCACCAACCTCCGCTGACGCCTTTTATGATCAATAAAGTGTCGTTCTCAAATGCCAAAGACGTAGTTTGATTCACGGCTGGTTTAAAAAAAAAGTTCCTTTTTCACAGTAATTTCTGTCACAGTTTTGCAGATGATTCTCCCACACGGTGGAACAGGAAGTGGTCGATCCACGGCGTCCTCCATCAGTAAGTCATTTAGCCAAAACTGTGGCTGCTGTTTTCATTCTATTCTTTTTTTGTTTTGTTTTGCTGGAGGATCAGTGACGACGGAGCAGCAGACGATTTCACTGTGAGTCAAAAAGTGACAGCGAAGGAAAGAACGGAGGAGAGCAGCATCTGCAGTGTTTCTGTTTCCTGTCTGAAGAGGAAAAATGATTATAATCCTCATCTGAGGCTCTGCTCTCCTCCCCCCCCTCCCCCCCCACGCCCTCCCCCTCCTCCTCCCACTGGTTGGCTGCACACACACACACACACACACACACACACACATATGGTAGATGGGGAGTGTGTGTGTGGGTGGATGAGATGCAGGGAAGAGAAGGAAGAGATTGATCTGATTTTTTTTAAAGAAAAGAGGAAGTGGAAAAAAAAGTGAAAATGATGAAAGAATTCATGTGAGGATGGATGGATGGTTGGATGGATGGTTGGATGGATGGATGGATGTAAAAGGGCTGTAGGTCCTGATCTTCTCCAGTCTGTTCTTCTTTGTCCATGTGTGTGAACATGTGGACCAAAAACCATCATTAAAACCCCATTAAAGACTGATTACATACAGAGACAAAGACACCTGCTGATGCTGAGGCTGCTGAGGCTGAGGCTGCTGATGCTGAGGCTGCTGCTGCTGTTACTGCTGCTGCTGCTGCTGTTTTTACTGCTGCTGCCGGTGTTACTGCTGAGGCTGCGGCTGTTGG